ATCCATTTTCAAAAATCATGATTTTGATATTGAGGATGATGATCATATTGCATTGATATTAAAAAAAATGATTTTTTTCATAAAAAAACTCAAACCTATGTCAATAGGTTTGAGTAAAATATTACCAAGGAGCGTGAAATACGATGGATGATAACATATAATAAAATCAAAAAGCTAGTGAAGCTTGGAAGAAATCAAATTTTGATTTTCAGCAAATGAATGTATAAGTCAAAGTACATTCAGACATACAATAAAAGAAAAATCTTCAAAGTATGGTTGATGGTTATAGGTTTTACACTAAAAAAAGTTGTGAACTACAACAATTTTTTTTCAAGTGTAGCAAAATATGCAATAATTTAATTTTGATGTGCACTAGTAGCAATATTTAGTATAGTTTTCAATCAGATGGATGTGGTTACAATAATTTATTATGTCTCTTAAATATAAAGAATTTACATGCAAAAAATAGTTGGCTTTGAGAGAGCTCAAAAGAGATAGATTTATAGATTGATAAAAATACTATATTGTTTAAAGCCATTTGATTGATAACCAACTGCAAGATTCGATGAATTCATGGAAGTACAAGAATTTTCAAATATGTATGATTCATGGAGAGATTTGCTTGATCGAACTCCATCAAAACGTAAATTGCTTGATGGACCCCATCAAGTTTCAATTTACCTGATGGGACCCCACGGAACGGTCCACGTCCACCGTCAAATCGTCTTATTAACAACACACCGTTGTTTCAACGATGAATTCGTCCGCATCAATTCATGTGTGCAAAAATCTTCATTGTGGTAGTCTGGTGCTATAGATCTGTTGGAGTAGAAATTTGATTGTTTCAAATTTATTCTCCAGTGATTTCTACTCACAAAAGAATTCACAATTACTAGAGGTGGAAGGTGTACTGACCGTGGCATTGCACTGTCTCTCAGATCTGTTTATCACTGTTTCTAGATCCAAAAGGGATTTCTTCAATTCAATGTGCATGTGCAGATTGAATTTGGAACGCGAGTGCAAACCTTAATGTCTAGAAGCTTTGGTAAATTCGGTTGGGTCGGAAAATCTTGCGGGCGATATTCAGTTTTGTTAAACTCCAGTGGTAGGCCGTTGAAGCCATCGCAAAAACACGAATTAGAACATATTCATACTAGAACATTTATTAGAACTCATCGACGACACACCGTTGATGAGGTCCCATCAGGTAAATTGAAACTTGATGGGTTCCATCAAGCAATTTACGTTTTGATGGGATCCCATTAAGCAAATATCTCATGATTCATGTGTATATATAAAACATGTGATTAATGAAATCTATGTGAATGACATGTTCATTTGGAAAAAAAATTCAAATCAACTTTGACAAATGCAAGATTTCTTATGTATTTATGATGTAGATATTGAATGAGTTCAAAAATATTTGTGTTAATAGGGATTGGAGAAAAGAAGTCTATGGATGCTTCAAGTCAAGTACGTTCAATGCATGCTTCAGATGTTCTTCATTGCAGACTTAAAAGGAGTAGGATTACTTTGGAAGCACACTTCAAACTCTTCGAAGCTTAATGTTTAATCAATGGCATTGAAAAAAACTGTTATCAATTTTTTATGATAAAGTTGTGTATTTGATACTATTCACAAAACCTCACATGTTGTAACTATGTGCAAGATGAGCATGTTCATGTCAAATCTAGAAAAGTTGCATTAAAAATAAAATTTTGCATTTTTAGATATACAAGGAGGTTTAAGTATTATGGTGTGTTGTTTGATAATATATTTGATAATGACATATCCTTGTTGGATCATGTTGATGTTGACTATGGATAAGATTAATAAAATAAAATCTACTACTTTGATCTGTAAAAATAAATCTGTTAACATTTGATGATTGATGCATTGTTAGTAGATCTACTTAAAAAAAATGCATAATTGAGTTCACAATAGAGGATGAAGATGTGGCGGCAATAGAAGAAGCAAGAAAATTATTAAGTTGAATAAGCTAATCACTAAGATGGGATTAAAATATGAGTTTGTCAATCTTCATTGTGATATTTATAGTGAGTTACATCTTGTTGCAAATTGAAAAATAAACAATAACAAAAACATGTGAGATAATATTCAATAAGAAATGAAATTTGTGATAAAGAATTTGAGCTTATCAAGATTGACGTTAAGTTCATTTAATGCATCCAAGAAAGTTATTCTTTTGAAGAATTTTATTATACATTGCACTATTATGTAGATTTTGCATGAGGAGCACAAGAAGAAGAGTTTACAAAACAATTATAGTTTTCTCTCTATATTTTTACATAGCTTGTTTGGCTAGAACTTAATTCAAATTAGTCTAAGTTTAAAAAGAAGTCATGTGCTAAGTTTTCTTGCATAACTTTTTTTATAGTAATATTATGGATTATGAAGATTATTGCCGTCGTGATATGAGTTAAGAGACATATTGTTAGTCAAACTCAAGTCTGAACTAGAGTTTGATTAGCTTAAACTTAGTTGGTATAGGTATAGGATTTTCCTAGTTTGTTGGAGTTTATGCTAGACAATATATTCAAGTACAAGCCAAAACCCAAGTTGAACATTGTTTAGATTTTAGTTAAAGCTTGTAGTTCTTGTTTTTAGAATATGTAATTCCAGAAGAAGATGATTTCACACAACTAGAATTCATCATTGATGCAATTTATGCTTTCAAAAATTTTAACTATGATTATAAATATATGAACTTGTATCCAATTGCTAGACATATGAAATCCAAAAGGTCAAAAGGAGTTTGATGAATAAAAAAATGTAATAATAACCAAAATATTAAATTTTTTATATCGATATTCATATTTTAAAACTTTATAATTTAATATATATTGATATTGAATCTATCAAAAAATAAATTTTAGTCATAAATTTTTACTTGCTTCAACTTGAAATATAAATTAAAATTGTACGTTCACATAAAAAAATAAATGCAATAATATCAGAGAAAAAATCAATTGCAAACAGAAATGAACTATGATCGGTGTACTGTATTATTGTCAAACATCAAAGTTGAAAAATATAAACTTCGACTAGATATTTAATGATCATATGCAGTAACTTTTTAATTTGTCTTTAAAATGCACGTTTGTTAGCAAATATTCTTTTATGCAAACTAAATTTTACAGTACATAAGGGTATCATGAATAAAAAAGGTAAAAAATGAATGACATAGAAGTAAGATTTGTTACTTCTATGTCATTCATTTTATTTTCATTCACTTTTTTGCTGTCGAATAAGATTTGTTATGTTTTGAATCATCAAATATTATTTCCAATTAAAAAATTTATGAGGAGAAGAGATTTTTTAATGTAATATCAATAATATAAAATGGAATAAATGGCTATGGCTATTGATTTTGAACATTAAAGTTAAAATTGAATCTTTTAATCTTTATTTTCAATAGAATCGTGTGCACTTTAAAATTAATTTTGATATATGAAAAAAATCTTCATTTAGCAAATTTATAAGTCTGGTGAAAAAAAAATCTATATATCTAAATAAATGTTTTTGTGTGTGTTTGTATGATGATTATTTAATACAGAAGATAGAAAAGTATAAGATTTCAAGTTTAAAGATATTTTCTGTGCATCCATATGTAATTATCTGTGCTGAATTATTGTAAGAAATCAGAAAAATGCAAATCTAAAGGCTTAAAGAAGTTCAAGTTATGAGGCATATGAGACAAATTTCTTTTTATCTAAAATGTAGGTTTGATAAATTTTATTGCTATCATCATATATTTGGACATTTCTATTGACTTTGATTATAAAATAGACAGAAGAAGTGAACAGATGAATTCATTCAGACTACGTAATTAAAATCCTGAGGTTATTTTATTTAAATGTCTGATTTTGTCCAGAAGATCTTTCAGCCGTCTCATCTAACGGCATCTAACTGGTCTAGTAATCAAAGTCAAACTAACTAGAATTTATACAAAAAATGAGTTTAGTTTTAAAATTTGAATTTTTAAGGAATAATACCAATTTCAAGAGATATTTGATGGATTGCGTTTATGAAGAAATTTATTTGGAAAAATGATAATGTCTGTAAATTTTATAATTAATTTTAGATTACTGGATATTAATTAGATCTCGGGTTCTCTCGAATTTCTACATCATTTGTTCTGGAATCACTACTCTAATGCCGTTCAACTGGTTCTCTCTTTCATTTGTGAAAGAAACATCGTTGTAAGCGTTCCATCTTATTACAAATGTAAAATGCCATCATATATGTATGAATTTTTTAAAATATAAATGAATGGTCTCCGCACTAAAGTCCGTAGGAAATTTAGATTCAGTGACCAGAATTTTTATAACTGAGGGAGGATAATAGTACCGTTGGCCGCAAAGCCGGACACAAGTAGAATGCTGTAGCTTGGCCTGATTGGGATAAAAGGTGTAGAGAAGAGTACATTTCCTGTTTGCAGGCCCTTAGTGGGGTCGGATTCTCGGCATGTGGCTTTCTTGTACTGTCTACCTCTTAACTGAATTTCAAAGGGTGATAATCTTGAGAAAAAGTAGCCATTAAAGATATGAATATTGCCACAGACACTAAGCTATTCTAAGCGCAAGTCTTCTTCTCTTTTGAAACCAGTTATTTATATACCATGATCCATTTACAGTAAAATCTAAAAGGACAAAAAAGGTTGGAGCATTGATCGAGTATACATGCAAAAGGAAAATAATCGACAAAAAAGCAACCCCAAAAGTACACAGGCGCAACAGAACACAAAATGAAAAAGAAAAGGAATGTAAATAATCCAGATCTATATATTTGTTCTACGTCCATTCTTAAACAAAGATTCGAGAAGAGAAAATTCTATGTGATTAGGCCGCAAAAATGATAAGCCTAGTTGCTGACCACGTTTTTTAATCGATTTGTTTAATTGTGCAAGGAAATAAACGTGAGAGTTTTGGAGTGATGCACATGCCATAACGAGAAGTACAAAGCGAAATCTATTTATGAGAGCAATCTCTTCAGAAAGTTTATTATGATTCCACTACAGTAGTCTCTTCGTAGCAGTCTAAATCCTCATTCTCCGAGCCACTTGTGCATGAAGGTGATCAAGTCAGATCGACACAACATGCCGTTTGTCCTAGGAGAAACCATTATGAAGTCTAGGAATGAAGTACAACTTCGTGAGTGGTTGCTGAACTAAGAATGACAGGTTACAGCGATGTGATGATCGATCCGTCTCTAGAATACGGTACGAGTAGTTTGAACGTTAATAGTGTGTGAAGCAGGCAGGAGTGACAATGGGCAAGGTTTCATGCAAATATTTTAATAAATGTGGAGGAAGGGAGGGGGAGGGAATGGAAGCGGCAACGGATCAAATGGAATGGCAGAGCCCGAGGATGAATGTGAGAATATATTGTCCATCTTGCGGGAACTCCTGAGGGAGGATTGGCAAGGGATGGGAGGGAGGATTGAGTCGTCGGCAACTTGGGAAGGACATCCGACAACTGTTGGCAGAATAATGTTTTCAAGGTGTATACTGTCGTGTAGTGCAGGCAGTCGTGGGCAAAATATGAGGCGAGAACACAGGGTCGAAAGTAACTGTTTGCACACAGTAGATCGGAGGAGGTGATGTGGAGGGAAATCTTCACCTCGTACCGTACACGAGTACCGCTTAGTATATACCACCATGTCCTGGACCCGCAGAGAGCATCCAAACTACTCCAGGACTGTACTGGTTCGAGGCAGGCAGGCAAATGGCCAGGAGGCCACATTGAGAACCAGAAGAAGCTGCAGGGACGCACACATCAATGAGAAAGCGAGAGAGCGAGAAAGTTTCGCACTGCAGCATTGGTTTAGCCTACCTTTATAAGACTAATGATGAGAACTGTGGGAAGAATGCATAAAATACGACCCTCGCCCCTGGCCAACTGGAAACAAACCAATCCCTCACTCGGGCTCAGGCCGGACAGAGGGCTTGAAATTACTGTGTAGATTCGCTGAGAATGTTCCATTAATATATACGGTTAGATATGCTGCTGCTCGTTAAATATTCTGTAGAGTCCAGATACCTTCGCTCCGCCTCGTCCTCCGGTGGCACGACATCGAAGTTGCTTGCACCGTCCACCAAAGCGCATGGCCTACAGTGCACGGTTCATGCGCTAAAAAGCTCTCACGCGAGCAGTGCAACATACCGCTTTGCTTTTCCAAGCTTGTCTCGCTCATGATAGGACGATGGCTGCTGTCTCCAAAGTGTATGTGTTTGGGCGTGCGTAGAGTAGCTTGTCTTGCGAGGCAGTACACCTTGACCCTGCATGTGATGGATGTGCGACTCTGCGGCTGTGGCTCTTTGGCTGCCTGCTTCCCTTCCCTCCCCTTCAGTCAAAGACGCACAAGGTAACCCGAGCAGCAGTCGAGACCAGTGGAATCACTGCATGGAATGCTGTCTTAGGAGGGTACGTCTGGGTGGATCTCGTCGAGCCAATTAATCAGAGTCTGATTAATTGGCTCTAATGCGGCCACATGGCTTACCAAATCTCGTGGGAGCGAGGGGCAAGCTACCGTGAACCACCGAGCGGGCTTGACTTTATCCACCAGACGGAGGTCTAATTTTTCCCTGCAGCAGCTGTAGCTGCCGTCTTCGACACATGCCACCAACTCAACCAAGCGACCGAGCCTATTATACCCCTAATTATACGGGGAGGCAACTAATTAAAGCCGGGAGGCGCAAGAAGTGAAAATCACGAACACCTCGGAAGAAACCAAAAATAAATAAAACAATCAATTAGCGAAGTCAATGAAGATAGCAAAGTTCAGTGGGTTGTCAAATTTAGAACTTCTGCTTTTCACTTCTGTGCCGCCTTTCGCGGATTTACGTCCAGACCTAAATTTAAGTGAAAACAAACCGCTATTCTGAGCTCGTCCAGAGTCTGCGCTGGCCAGCTGCCCGCACCTCTCTGTCTCCTCCCGTTGCTCGGCCGACCCGTTATATTCCGGCCTCCATGCCATGCCGTTCCATTTTCGCCATATCATGCATCGCATCCCATCCATGGACTTTGACCCCCTCCCCTTCCCTTCCCTTCATCCTTTCCTTTTCTTTCCTTTCCTTTTCTTTCCTGTCATTCCTTCTTTCCGGACGAAAGTAAAAATTCGTATTACTCGCATTGAAGTTTCTGGGGGCCCTGGGGCTCTTCTGAGGCGATCACATGTCGACCGTCTTACGTCGTCAAGTCAGCGAGACTGAGCGGGTTAGTAGAAGTGAGTGTAGAGTAGATAGGAGCTCACCTCACCTTACCTTACCTTACCTCACCTCGGATCTGGGCACGCCCAGCTCATCATCACTCCTCCCAGACTCAGAAAAAGAGAGACGAGAGTGAGAGCGAGAGAGTGAGAGAAGGGGGGAGCCCGACAGAGAAAGGGGAGAGAATTTAGGAAATATTTTATTAATGTGAAGGGCAGTATTTGTAGAGTTAATCCAGGCAGGTGCATGAAAGCTCGAGGAAGCGAGAGATTATGGCTGTCGGCCTATATTGCATGACTCGCTTCCTAAACTACCTCTTTTTCTTCCTTCGCTATCGCGTCAAAGTATCTCTCTATCACTCGCTCGAGAGCAGCCTGGCCGTCCTTCTCGACGTGACAGCCATGCCCACTCGAGCAGAGGCAGCAGCCCAGCCCAGCCCAGCCCCCCAGACTAGAAAAAAACGCCAGTCGGTCCAGGGCTCCAGCCCAGCCCAGCCCCCCAAGCCAGGCCCCCGAACAGAGCAGAACAGAACGAAGGAAGAGACTCAGAGAAGAAGTAAGTCTAGTCTGTCTGTCTGTCTGTTCGGGTTGGGTTCTGGGCCGGGTCTCGCCTTCCCTGAGCCCTCGGGGGAGGGCTGCTGGCTGGAGTGAAGCTACGGTTGCAGCAGCACTCCGGTACTCCTCCGATTACTACTGACTCTCAGAAGGAAGGAAAAAAGGAAGTACTGGTCTGACTGCTCAGCCCCGCCCCGCCCAGCCTGCTGCCTGCCTCCTCCTCAACTCCTCTTTCCAAGCACAGGAGAAATGATAAGATCTTAAAGACGAAAAGAGGGTGAAAGAGGAAGACTCGTGCGAGAAGAGAGGGAGCGACCGAGCGAGGGAGGGGGAGAGAGAGAGAGAGGGAGAGAGAGAGAGAGAGAGACGGACTGACTGACTGTGATGGTGTGTTAGAGAGAGGAGCTTAGGAAATGGAAGGAAATATGCAGATGTGAAAGAGATGAAGGGTAGGGAGGGATGATGGAAGGAAGGGAAGTTGGAAGGAAAGAGACGGAGATAACACGAGGGTGATCATCATCACGATTTATGTGAATACTGTGCCAGTGCCGGGCAAATGGGAGGGATGATCGGGAAGCAGCTGAGCTCGGAGCAGAGAGATATATGGAGTGCAGAAGCGAGAGCTGGCGTTTGCTGCAATATGGCACACACGCCGCCGCAAGGGACGGCCCCGCACGCCCACTTCTCGGTTGCTCTATTCTTCTGTTAAGCGCTCGTCCTGCCTATAAAATCCACTCTCGCTCCCCATACCATACCGACTCAATCTGCGTCTTCAATCTGATAGTGTGGTCCCTCCCTCCCTACGTCTGCTCGCACATTTCGAGAGGATGATGATACCAAGCGTCTCTGCAGTCAGCAGTCATCTCTGGTTGACGTAATAGCGATGCCTGTCGTTTCATCTGAGGTGGTGTACTTGCCAGCTCCCTCAGCTCCCCATCTATCTTCTTCACTCATCCTTCTCATGCTCAAGCTCCCTCCCGAGCTTAAAAGTAGTCTCACCTCACCTCACCTCATCTTTCTCATCCACGAATTGTCCCCGTCGACCTGGTCATCCTGCCGCTACTCTCCCGTCATTGAGGCTCTTCCGCTGCTGTATCTGATTCATCCCATTGTAGTCTTGTCGTTTTACAGTTGCACCATCATTGCACCACGCAGCGATTTGATCACGCAGAACGATCAGGTTGCCCGTGTTGCTACTGCGATCTCAATTACCACGGCTGATGCATGTCTGTTACACCCCATCGACTGCAACGACCCGAAGACATATTTACGAATGGTGGAAGAAGAAGAGAGAGAGCACAGCCCTGTGTTCACGACCACTGACTGGTCCTGCTTGGCTGTGCCCTCTCTCTTCCACTGCCGGCATCCGTGATCTTCTGCTCGGTTCCAGCAGCTGCTTGATCTGTGACGATAGACAGCAGAATAGTTCATCGCGTACGCACATGAATGATGGCAGCAGAAGAGAGAGAGTACAGCCCCTTGTCACTTGTGGCTCTCCCTTGTGCGCATGACATCAGTCGACACACGGGCTGTACCCTCTCTCTTCGACTGCCGCCTTTTATGTAAAGTTTCTTGAGATTTCCATCTCACACCAACGATTGGAGACTGGAGGCGTCTCTCATTGTACCAACATCATGAGATTAACTTCGTAATATAGCACTGAAATTCGTGCATTTGGAAGGTTTGTAGAACTCGGTCAGTAAACCGCATGAGCGCAAGGCTTGCACCTGACACTACTACCACAAATCGAGGTGTGCGCTTTGATTTAATTCCTTGGAAATGGTAGAAGTACGAGTGTTTTCTTTTTGGACTTCTGCCCTGATGTAGTGTCACCTGCACAGATCTGTGTTGCATACCTGAATGCAGATGGCAAGTCTGAAGAGGAGTGACCAATTGTCCCATGTGGATAGGAAACGAAGGCGATGCGAAGATTGCCATTGTCACAGGTACAGCGGTTTCCCGGTGGTCGTACAATCTGAGTACTCTCAGTGAATTAACTTTCCGTAGTCACGAGCCGCTTGGTATGCAGCTGCAGGTCTTTGTTACATGCACTTGTAACGACCTTTCTCAGCGTTACCGCTCCCAAACGGCTGTATCTCGATCAAATCTGGCTTTAAGCGGGGAGTGCATCTCTTTTCACAGGCGCGTACTTTGAAGATGAGAGGAACGACGTCATAGTACTCAATTGTAGAACTCAGGCTTTTCCTACCGACTGGCCTTGTACGTCCGCTTGATGTGACCTTAGGTTGGCTATGAGCTGAATACAACGAATGCAGGTTGGGCATTAGCTCATACAGCAATTGTCGTTGGATAGAAGTGTAGGCCAACTGTAAATCTTTCGAAATTGAACTTATGAATTGAAACACATGAGTCATTATACTACCTTCATCCTCAAAAATATGTAACGGTTGTATGCACGACTGTCTATGCCTCAAAATTCATGCACCGTTGTGCAGGACTAGTGTTCACTTCGGATTGCTGTACGCTGTACATTCCAAAGGAGAGGGTACATTTTCTTCGTCACCGCTTCTAAAGAGGAGGTCGTAAAGATGTATTGAGAAAATCTCCGTGGTCAAACCAATTTCTTGAACAGTTTATCCAGCATGCAAACGAAGAAAATATTATCGTTTGTAATATTACTTTGGTAAAAAAAATTATAGAATAGGAAAAGGGAGAGAAGTGGGAAAAGATAGAATCTAAAAATAAAGTACATATTAAACACGCATAAATAATTGAGAAAAAACTATACTTGTTAATAGTGATGAAGAAAATGAAGAAAATAAAAATAAAGCTTGAATATCAACAAGAAACAAATTGAAGAATAATTGATAAGTTACAATTCATCTGCAAATGGGAAAAAAGGAGAAATTTAATCATACCTCGGAGAAAAAAAATGATCTCTTCACTACATATACTCTTTGAGAAGCAACTGCATGTTGCAATGATCTATATTCGTAACCGGGAGGCCAAAATTTGTTTGACCGTTCGATTATCTCTATTTCGAGACTGTTTCACAACGGTGAACGTAAAAAACGAGCTGAAAATACACGAAGATTCAAAATTTAAACCCTTGAATTTGGATCAAACTCCCGAGAGGATGACGAGGAATGTGAATCGAAAGCCGATGAGCGAGTTTACTTCATTGTTGTCGAGGAAGTTTAACATCGGCATTTCAGGTGTTACAATCTCTCGGTCTCTGACACACTCTTCATAAACTTGTCAGTCGAACCCACGCCATGAAATAATTAGTTTGAAGCAGCCTTGGGTTTTTCTTCATTGCTCTCATTTGAGCTAGTTTCAATTTTGTAAGACACAACTAGAATGACACACACACACAGTTTATGTTCATCGAGCACACTTGAAATCAGTGAAATTCAAAGAACAGTGAAGGGATTATATCTGAAGGCATCCAACATGAAGCAACTGGCAGTGATTTTGAGAGGTATAGTGGATACACGAGTTGAAAACCCCTACCGCACGATACTTTCAAGATCTACCACAAATGGTGAGCTTTGCAAAGACTCCAACGCCCTCAGAAAAGAAGACCAGTCCTGGGGAGAGCTCCACACTCACTTCCGTACCAGTTACTTTGGTACGACTGAGTCACAGTAGTCAACCTCGTTGATTTAAAAGCTTTGCATCCTTGAAGTTTGGACTTAAAATCTCCTTTTAAGGCAATCCTAACAGCAGGTTCATTTGCTATTGGTAGCAGTATGTCCAGACAGTGTCGAGAGCAAGTATCCTAGGTAGGTACTTGCCAATTTAAGCAATTTGCAGTACTAGGAACTGCAAAGAAATGAATGCAGCTTGCGAGGTTCATTTCATCTTGACAGTTCTGCAGCATCGGTCGTAAAAATCAGCAATAAAGCAGATTTGATTTGAGCGGCAAGTAAAAATGGAATCACTCTCATAATGGAGAAAGGCGAAACGCTTCAACGATCGAACCGTTTATTGCTTTAAAGCATAAACGGTTCCCTTTACACCTTGTTCAGTGTGGTCATGCGTAGACACCTGTAGGCGATCTAGAATGTGGTTTATCGTTTTTCCACACTCGAGGACTGAACTTCTGAATGTTTGGAGTACAAAGATCCAGCTCAAAGTGTTTGATCGGAGAACGCTTGGGAGAATTTTAACTTGGACGCCAACAGCACAATGCTCAACGAAGGATGATATGGGGTTCAATAAAGTGTAAACATCGTTCTTCAATTTTCACTTCCAGTACTTCTACGTACTGTCTTATAATAGCGGAATTAGGCCATGTATTACGGGGGGTGATTGTGGATAGGACGTGATTATACAGTTCCGTGTTTCTGCAAGAGAGTATGATTTCTCATTTGAGCAGATTTCGTTATGGTCTGGTTCGTGACAAGTTTTCGAAACAGAAAAGTTTTCGGTTCAGGGATCTCTGAGAATGGATAGTTACAAGGATTCATCATTTAAAAATCAACCCAGTATCTTTGCTTAACAGCGTTCGAGCTAATTCATTTTTTTAAAATTGAATGACAAACTGAATGAAGGAGTCTGAAGTATGTCATGCGTTTCTTCTATATATTTACAACAAATACTAGATGTATCTTGAAGAAATCAAACGAATTTGAAAGTACAATAGATGCAAAGTTCGCCTTCAGAAAGATTTTAACAATGAGTAGCTTTATCAAATTCTTCGAAGAAAGATGATTAACAGCTTAAGTGCAATATTTAAGCTTCTCTTATTGATTTCACTGCATTTCCAAATTTCGAAATGCTTAGAGGCAAGAATTGCAATATATCCAACACAGAGGGATTGCAATGGCCATCCAGAATCCAGATGCTAGTCAACGGTAAAGCTCATTACAGTCCACTTCAGATTCCTTAAAAAACATGCTCATCAATCAGAGGAGAATGTTGAAGGGAGGGGAAGATGTAAATTTGCATCAATCATGGTAATTATTGAAGAATGAGCCCGAGGAGTTTCAATGGAAAGAGATAGGTAGGGCTGGGGAGATTTGATTCAGTGTCCAGATTGAGCAAATTTTATACTGGTCGTGATGGACCACCTGAATCCAACTTTTCAGTCGTTGAGTCAGTTGCCCTGACTCGTGATTGTGTGCTCTTCTGCTCTGTCCAGTTCCTTCAAACTCGAGGTTCTATATCCAATCGCTGGGTAATGCAGCAAAGGTGGCACATCTAAAAGCGAGCTCCAGGGATTCAGACTGTGGTGTATCTCCAAGCCCCAACTGCAGACTTCAAATATTCTTTCAGAGGTAGTGTAAGAGCATGAGATCAGTCGATAGCTGAATGACATGCTGCACTTGTAAGTTTTCAGTTCTTCTGCTGTCAAATCTTAGCTCTTTTAGGTAGTTGAGCTAAACAGAAGGATTGAGCTGTTTAATAATGAGGGAAGTTGGTAGCTTGACTCCTATATCCACTCACTGGCATTGTCATACAAGTCAGTAATGTTCATCAGACAACAACAATGTAGCGACCTGCTGCAATCATGGATATCTGGCCATAGATCGTTGTCGTCCTACGCATGGGTCTACCTCCATATAATTTGAAATATTCCCTTTCGCTAGAGTTGCAATCACTCCACCCGTCGCACTGACTGTTTACGGGAGTATAACCGTGCGTTGGTGTTAGTTTATAACATGTAATTTCAAGTCTCCCGTTTTCAAAAGTAAATCAAAACCATAATTAGTTAAAAACAGAACTTGTAGGCAGCTACATAAACAAAGCTGATAATTCAGGATACTATATCAACATCCAAGCACCTGTGACTGAAAAGCCACTTGGCATATGTTTTGTGATGACTATACATTACAGCTATTAGACTTCATGAAAACCGTTTTGTCCCATATTAATGATTTCATTTGGATGATATGTACCACATAGAAAATTCTGAAAAGCACTTGAAGCCATGAAAATTTTACGAGGATTCTGATTTATTGCTAGTTTATTTGACGAGTCTGAAACTCAGAGCCTTCATCTCTTTGTTCCTGAATTACAATAAGATGGAGTTTTAACAATTGTGAGAAGGTAAATAACAGAAAGGATGGGAGTAAATTGCTTTTAGTATCTTCATGAAGGGTATTCATACGTTCAAAGGACAAAGTGGGATATGTTTGTAAACGCTGACGAAGTAAAAAATCATTTGATATTTCCTCTCTATTGCTAACAAAGAACGGGTAATTCAAATAACGTCTCATGATGAGAATAACGTAGTGGAGCATGTCATTGTCATTTCTATGTGCGACGAGTGGAAGAATTGTTTTGATAGGCAGTGTTCCAAATAACACTGCCCTAGTTCTTGCAATAAAAATTTCTGTAAAATCTTCTTAGGTCTTCATCAATCACTTTATGGAGTGAAGCATGCATTATTTGATCCTCACCAACGAACTGTTAATTGGCGAGGATCTAAACACCTTTAGGAATGTATTCAAAACTTCAGTCTCCTCACTTTCATGCAACCTCAGTTATTCATTTGTTCTTCCCCAAAACTGTACAAACATAAACTCAGGACTGTGTATGCATGCATACATATTATTTCTAAATAAATTGGAACAAGTAATCATGAGTCATGTAACA